GGAGGTTTCTTCCTGTTAAAAGGGAGTTTTTCCTTCCCACTGTCACCAAAGTGCTTGCTCATAGGGGGTCATATGACTCTTTATGTATTATTGTAGGGTCTACCTTAAAATATAAAGTTCCTTGAAATGACTGTTGTTGTCATTTGGCGCTGCATAAATAAAGTTGAATTGAATTGAATTGAATCTTGCCAAAAAATGAATATTCATGTAATTTTGTTAGGGTTAGAGGTCCAGTGTTGAGGCATTTTTATTGAGATCTGGGTTTTACCATTTACCCATTCCTCTCAGCTTTTGGGGGAGTTTAGTGAATTCATTTTAACTATTTTAATATATAAAATACTTACCAAGGTATTAAAGCTGTTATAATTTTAGTCATATAGCTAAGCTGTTTTTACCATGACTTTATATATATGCAATTATTCATGTTTCTCAGATCAGTTTATATTAGTTGAATGAATCTTTATATGGCTGCTGTAAAACAATACTTGTTCCTGTGTTTGGGAATGGTTGCTGATCTGTAACATAGCTGTAATCCTTATTACTGTTGGCAGTCATACACAAATGATTCCCTGGCAGGTTTAAAACTATAATGGAAGGCTTAATGACATGTGAAGCTTGGTAACGTCGATCGTAGTTTAATTAAGATGTTTTTAGCTCATTACTGTATTTCTGACTGTGTTTATTCAGCTGTGTCTCATGGCTTTCATTTAGTGGACTCAGTTGTGAGGAACTGACATAAGTACACATAAATGCATATAATTTACATAAAAATGTACATTTATAAATATAGTCATATAGTTATTTAAAACTCATATAACCACGAAGGCGCACAGTTTCTAATTCAGCAGAATAATTTTGTATCTTTGGCTGTGTTTACACGCAATTTAGAGATAGTGTATAAAATATATATGTATGTGAATAAAACTATATAGTTGCGCGTTATGATCTGCAACTCATTTCATCAAGGAAACTTGGTCAGCATCATAAACTGCATATAAACGATGGCAATAATTGAGCACTTATTGTTTAGTGAAGTCCCCTTTGTGTCGTAGCGATCTTAGTGTTTTGAAACTAGATGTGACCGAGGGACAAAGCAGGCTCATTAGCTAACAACCTGAGACTGATAAGCTGTTAGCCAATGAGCTGTCAGCCTGATCAGTACTCCTCTTCTTCTTTAGGGGTTGCCACAGCAAATCATCTGCCTCCATTTCACACTATATCTAGCATCCTCAAAATAAGCTTCCTGTTCTATTCAGTATGACTTGAAAGTAGCATCTGAGCACATAAGCTTGTCAGAAAAGTGTTCACTGATCACAGGTCAGTGGACCCTAAGGCCATTTTCCCCTCTATACTGCTGGACACCTTACAGCAACCAGAAGAGTTGCCCTCTGCTGGCCATTTTAAATTATTGAGGTTTCTTGTGTTTGTTTTGGTTTGGTTTGAGGTCTCTTTCCATCCATCCTTACCCTTTACTAACGGCTCGTCTAACTGGGGTTAGAGAAAATCCAGGTACACAGGTATAGGGAGTCAGCCAGTCATGCAGAAGGCTGCCCCTCCATGAGCCAGGTTCTGTCAGAGGTTGTTGTTCTTCCTCAATATTTACCGTGTAAATATGAAGCTCTTTGAGATGACTGTGTTGAATTGGCACTTTATACTGAACTGAAATTAAAATGTTTCAAAAGCTACAGATTGCATGGCTGCCTCCAAAGACTTCATATTAGATGATGAAGGGCAAATGTGGAGTAACAAACTATAAGTCAGGCTAAAGATGTTTAGAAATAATATTAGTTACAACTTTACAATACTTTACTTGATGGTGGTAACTTTGCTTCAGGCTGTCTCCTTCGTCTCTGTCTCCTCATCTTTCAGGACGGAGCTTCGCTGAACTTGAGTTTCATCCCATTGGACATCAAACTAACCAACTGGGATGACCTGCCCGAGGCCTTCAGCCGGCGCAGGGAAAATCGAATACAGGTCTGCCCTTCCCGCCGGGCTGAGTCTGGATATGTGCGCGTCTCTTGCGTGCGCTTTGATATTCATGAATGTGTGTGGGTGTGTACGTGGACTGGGGCATTCACACCAGGGAGATGTACCTACTTAATTTGTCGTTACTGTTAAAACACTTTAGAGGCAAATTAAACTAAAGTTGACTTCTAGGTTATAAGATGTGTCACTGTTTGCTTCTTGTGATTGATTGCAAAGACAAAAAAATGTAGCCATGAGAAGAATTTAAGATGATGGAAAAGTCTGCATATGCTAGAGTGTGGAGCTAAAAGTTTTTCACTTAGTGTGCCCATAGGCTGCGTTAAGGATGACCTTAATTTTAGACTAAGATAATTTAGTTTCATATCTCACCAGTGGAGCTATCGCTTCAATTCCACTGACCCAGTGAAGATGAGACATGAGGCAGTACGGAGGTTATTAAACCTAATGGATGTGTGTGTGTCACTGGCATGTGAAACTAATGACACCTCTGATCATGAGCAGGAAGAGCAGCAGCGCACCATTGGGCCCCTGACAGATAGGTGGAGTATGGACGCCCACGTCTCACTACTGCAGGGCCTGAAGAAGGAGAGCAGGAGAGGGAGGAGGACGAGGAAGTGGAGGTGGCGGACGATGGAGATAGGACAAAAGAGGGGGGGTGGCTTGGGGGTTTGGGCTGCCGAGGAGACGGGCAAAAGAAAGTGTGCAGTTTTATGAGGGTTGTTAAAGGAGACAGATCATCGCCTCAAACGACCCAAAGCACCAACCAGCTAATATTAAATCCTGCAATCTGCCGTGTCGGTACCAGCTACTGACAGAAGCCCCGCCTGTCACGTTGTTTATGTTGCTTTGTTAAACCGAGGCGTGAGTTGCAGCCATCCTCCGACCCATCATTTATGCCCCGTTACACTCCAATTGTCCATCACAATCAATACTTAGCAAGCGGTTTAATGCGGGATGTGAAACGTCTTGGATGGGGAAGCAGTGGTGTGTAAACACTCCTACAGCCAGAACAACAACACTGGCAAATGAATCAAACCATCTTTGAGATGAATGGTCAGTAATTACAGAATATGTATTAGAATAATCTCTATTTTATGAAAACTGGATAATGTTTCTGTGAAGATAATCATTAATTGAGGTTAAAATACAGTTTAGTGAAGAGAACACAACCCAAATAGTTTTCAACAAAAACCGTTTTAACGTCTTTGCTTCTATATTCTTACTAAAGCTACTCGGTCCTTATTTACATTAAGCGAGAAGTTGCACCTGTAGTGTAGTTGGCTTTGGTGCCGAGGCTCAGGTCATTGTTTGTCTGAAATAAGCCAAAATAGCTACCAGACCCCTTTAAATTAACATTTTTGTGATTAGCTGGCCCTGCCAAACAGAAGGTTTTAACAGATGGTGTTCTCACACTTTGAGCTCTGTAGTTACAACTTCAGTCAGTCAGGCCTAGAGACTGGTAAATGGTTGCCTGGAAAACGTGTATTATCAAACTGTTTGGCAAGAGGTCGCAGGAAATTACTTGCAGTTGATTGGTGTAATAAGTCACAATAATAATAATAAGTCTGGATGTGGTGCTGCATCCAGAATCTTCTAGCTATTTCTTTGGTCACTAGCAGTTTATCACAGTTGCACACTCACTTAAACTAATTGCAAAGTGGTTGTGAAACTGTTAAAAGTCCAAAACAAACTGGAAAAGGAGAATGTTTGCTTCAAAATAAAGTAAGGAACAACAATAAGAAAGAGACTGGTAAAAAAATGTATCATGTAAAATCATGTATGATTTTCGTTCCACTTCTCACGTGTACACCACTTTGTGTTGGTCTTTCACGTGGAATTCCAATAACATTGATTCATGTTTGTGGAAGTAATGTGACAAAATGTGGAAAAGTTCAAGGGGGCCGAATACTTTTGCAAGCCACTGTGAAACCAGGCTTCAGTGCATAAAAGATTAACTTATTTGAAGGAAGTCTGCCTATTGGATATAATGAAGGTCGCCAGGACGCTGCTCCGGATAGTTCCAGCCCACTTGAGCCCCTGCACTTGCATTTTATAAACATTATAATGTGACACACGAGTGATATTGTAGTGCAAAGTGAGAGACGAAAAAGTCTCATTGTGGAGAGGTTTGTGTTTATCTTTGGCAACTAGAAGCACATAAACTTTTGATGTTTGTTCTATTTTTTGAACCGAAAATAGGAAAAAAAAACTTTTTTTTTTCCTATTTTCTGTTTTAGTGAAGTAAGAAACTCGAGGAGGACAGAGCACATTGTGTATGTCAGTCTGGTCTGTGACATTTAGATATGTGTTCTGTTAAAGTAATACCCAGGTGTTACAATTGTCCCAGTAACCTGGCTGTAACCATGATACAGTTTAGATAGAATTTTACATATTAATTCCTCATTTGTATAAACACCAATATGAAGGTTTCCTAAAAAGACAAAAACCACTGGGACCAATGATTTTGTTTTGTTTTTAGCCTTTGGAGTATCATTTACCACCAAGAAAAAAGTAAAACTTAAAGGATAAAAGTATCATTATCATACATCTTTGTCCAGATACACAGTGAAAATCAAAGCACCCTCTGTTTCCACCCACACGTCTCACCTATTAACCTGTCTGACCTTCGGCCAATCTGCAAGCTGGAAGGAGCATCCCACTCTCCTCCTTAGTTTCAACTTTTGACATCTGATTCAACTTTTTGGCTCTCATCTAACCTCTGATGGCCTGGCAGCACAATTACTATTTCAGATTTTCACTAAGCTTACCCACAGTCTTCATCTCTACTTTCCTCCTGTCAGGAGGAAGACTGTCTCGCTGTAGAGGAGGGTTTCGGTGCTCTACCGGCACATGACGTTCGGCTTGATGCTGTGATTTGAGTTCCTAATGACAGAGTACTACTTGCCTTCAGTCTCAAGGATGTTATGGGCGATAATAATTTAGTATCGTTTGTGGTTTTAAATGCCGTTGTTCTGGTTTTGTGAAAATATGTGCAAAATGAGTCGCAGTAGATGGCGGCCCCTCGCTGACTCTGGTACTGTCTGTTCCTGATAAAAGCAGAGATGCTTTTATGCTCCTCACATACGAGGTCTTGAATAATCTGGCCCCATTTGATCTTAATGACATTATAGCACTGCATCACCCCATTAGAGCGCTGTGCTCTCAGACTGCTGGCTTACCTGTGGTTCCTCGAGTATTTCAAAGTAGAATGGGAGGCAGATGCTTGAGCTTTCAGGCGCCTCTTCTGTGGAACCAGCTTCCAGTTTGGATTCGAGAGACAGACACTATCTCTACTTTTAAGATTAGGCTTAAAAATGATCTTTTTTAAAGCCTATATTTAGGATTGGATCAGGTGACCTTGAATCGTAGTTTCTTCCTTTTAAAAGAGAGTTTTCCTTCCCACTGTCACCAAAGTGCTAGCTCACAGGATGTTTGTTGATTGTTGGGGTTTTCTCTGTTTTCTTTGTATTGTTGTTGGGTCTTTTTACAATATAAAGCACTTTGAGGAAACTCTTCTTGAGATTTGGCCAAATAAAAATAAAATTGAATTAAATACATGCTCTAATTGACAAGCCAGCAGTTTCCAGCATACTTGACAAGGGACCGGCCGGTTAATGTCACATAGCTCATTGCTGTTATCAGATAGTTGTGCGCACACTCAGAGGCAAACGCTAACGTTGCAAATGCTAATGTTGTTAGACATTTGCATTAGCATACACATTAGACAGACCTAATCAGGCAGTTAAACCCCCCTTACACAGCTAAACGTGGACAAATAAAGTGTGATAATTCATTTTATTATAAAATTAGAATTTAATATTGAAGAAAAAGTAATTTTTTTGTTTGTATATGCTGTCAATTCTAGTTCTGGAAAACTGGAATCAGCAAAAATCTGTATGGGCTATCAGAATCAATCCAAGAAAATTGCAATCAGTCCTCTTCAAAAGAGAGGTCTTCTGCCCCACATTCACCAAGTGCTGATCTGATGGTTGGGCTTCTGTCTCTGATATCATTGGGTTACAATACAAACTTCCTCATTGTTTTTTATAGAACCTCATGTCTGTGAAAGGATTAGCAATCCATTAATTTTTATTAAATCAGAGGTACATGAACATTACTTTTTTGGGGGATATTAGTGTGTTATATAAATATCACATGTATTATATATAGATAGCTGTCATGATACATGTTGTACATATGTCATATAATAAATATTTTAAAATATATACTTATTAACGTTATTTTAACGAGTTCATCTTTACATCCAGACGTCAAACATTTGTTTCTGTTGAATACTTTCATTTAACATTGAACATTTAATGAGTAGTACGTACTAATTCCTTCAAAATATACCTGCGCAAAGATCAACAAAGACAGCTTTCATGCTGTGATAGCTTGAAACCTGTCTGCATATAACATATAAAGACTTTTATCTTGACCCAAGTCTTTTTTGTGACGGTACATATCATCCATAGCAAAGACGGGGAAAAAAACCCTTTCAAGTGTAATATACGTAGGTAAATTGTCCATTAAGGCTCGGTGTCTGGTGAGCTATTTGTTATATTGTTGGTAGATTTTCTTCGAATCCTGCCTTCGCTGGAAGAATATTCAGCCCTCTTTTGGTTTAATGGGTTTTGTTCAGCTATCTGGAAAACTGTCTCCTTTGAATTGTTTGTTTTTGGCTGAAGTGCATTTTCAAAATTGAAAAGCTAAAAAAATGTTTTGCTTTTAAAGAGGTTTCACTGTCCAAACTATCAATTTGTGTTGAAAATGAAGACTCCGGCGGCTGCAGTCGCGGCTTGAGATTGAATATGAAGTGAGGTGTCGTGTCGCCCCGCAGGTGCTGAGGTTTGTTATGGAGTGGAGCGGCCTGCCAGCCATGAAGCAGAAACTGCTTCGACGCAGCGGTCTTCTCTTCCACAGCCCTACCCTGGGCTTGCAGCAGCTGTCCGCCGCCCAGCGCCCTCACTCGAGCACCAAGAGGTCAGATTTTTTCCTTGAAGGAGACGTGCTTTGACTTTCACCAAACCTCTCTTCTAATCAGTGAATTTTCAGTCACTGAAATGAACGTTTAGTGGTTTGTATTGAGTTTTAACCTTTTCCAAACCGCCCAAAAAACAAGTTTGTTTTTCTGCTTTAACCGCTAATGTTATATGGATGTAGTTTGTGAAGCCAGTTTGGAAATACCTTAAACCCAGATTATTTCTAGTGGCCCACAGGATGTGACTCCTCTGATTGTAAAAACTGTTGTATTCAAGTCTGTCAGTAAACATTTGCCTGATGAGTGCATGCTCTCACTCATTAGTTTTGGGTTTTTACAAGGTGTTCTTCAAAATTATGTTCCTTTTTTGAGGCAAAGCAGAAGATAAAGCTGGAAGTCTTCGCCTAAAGAGTGTCCCTCAGTTTCTCAGTCATCACGTCCTGCTTCATGTTGGCTACATCGGGTTTTTTCAGGTGGTTTTTTTTTTTCTAATATACAGTCTGCGGGTCATCATTTGTGTGGTTTTAGGCTACGTTCCAAAAAGATGCAAACACAGTTCTATAAAAACACGGGGAGGCTCTATAAGTAAAAACAAAATGCAATTCTTTGCAAATCCCATGAGCCCAAATTTTATTCACAACAGAAAATGTTAAATATTTAACGTGAGAAGGTGTACAATTTCAAGAGAAATATGAGCTCATTTTGAATTTGATGGCAACAGCACATTCTATAAAAGTTGTCTTGAGTCATGTTTACTACTGTGTAGCATCCCCACTACTTTGAATAGCAGTCTGTAATAATATCTTGGACCTAAGGAGCACAGCTGCTGGAGTTTAGGGAGAGGAAAATTGTCCCGTTCTTATCTAATATATGGTTCTAGCAGCTCTACAGTCCTGGATCGTCAAATGTTTTCAGCTAGTGAAAGATCTGGACTGCAGGAAGGTCAATTCAATGTCTAAATTCAGATCTCCGGTAGACCATGCACACGCATTAATGATGAAGGTCCAGCTATCTGAAAACATCTTTTACCTAAACGTTTCAAGTTTGTACCACATTTAGTGAAAACTTTCATCTAAAAACAGTATTTAGAATCAATATTTTGCTAATGCATTAGCCAAACATGTCTTCACTTACCATCCTCATTCTGTGCAATAAGCTTTCCCACATGTGGATGGGTTTCCTGTATTAACAGATTAAGGCTACGTTCACACTGCAGGTCTTAATGTTCAATTCCGATTTTTTGATCAAATCCGATTTTTTTTGTCTGCTTGTTCACACTACAAATAAAATGCGACAGCAAACGCGCTCTAGTGTGAACGCTCAAAGCGGCCCGCATGCGCAAAAGAAGATGTCACACACAAAGCGCTCTGTTTAGACCCAGAGCAACAGTATTGTTTGACTGATGGCC